ACTAATAGAGTCATCGCCCCTTGCTCCCCATTTTTCACCCCAGGCACTGAGTTTCTTTGTTTCTTTCTTCTAATTGGGTCAGTGATGTTACTTTCTTTCCTCCCGAGACAAGATCTGCTCCATCTCTCTTTTCTTTTGCTCAATCTGTCTTCCAATACTCTTTGCCCAAGGCTGTTCACACTCCCTCATTCCCAAGAGCACACTGCGTATCTATTTTTCGTGTTTTAAGGGCAGCCGAAGGCTTTACCAGATAATGAAAAAAATCTCTTTGCAGCAATTTCAAGTTGCTAAGAGTTTGCTAGGTTTGTTGGCAGGGACCAGTATGGGAATGTTCTTCCAGTACTTTGTGCTCTAGACTCCCTGGCGGGTCAGGGATCTATGGGGAACACAGAAATGTGAACATGATTAAACACCAGTGTGGGGGTGGTGCTAGCTATTTGGAACTGGAGAAGAAAAGGTATTCTATAACTCTGGCACTAGAGGTGACCACTGAGTCTTGAAGAAAGATGAGCAGTTTGACAACAGCCTGGGAGAAAAACATCAGCGGACCCAGGCTGAGGTGACACTACGTGCAAAGAAAGCTTGAAACAGCTTGTCATTCTGGATAAAACCTCCTTTTCACAGATGGGCCTGTTGACACTCAGCCTGTTTGGCTGCCAGGACAAACACCCCTCTCTGCAACCCCTACATTCCCTGAAGCTGCTGTCCTTCTTTAATCTCAGAAGAACATCAATCATTTTCTGGCCAGGCGAAGCATGTTTTGCCATCTAGCACATATAGGACCAGCCCTTTAGGTATGGGGAAGCTTGGCAGGTATGTTTGAAGGCAGGGACCAGCGGAAGAGAGAAAAGGGAGTATACTTGGAAGTATCATTTCATCCAAGTATTTGGGGCCGGAAAAGGGCCTGGCTTAGCTCTGGGTTCTGTTTGATTTGGAATGCACAGTTCTAGGGACAAGATACAGGACCAAGGGTGACCTGGAGATCTGAAAGATGCCTGCAAATTGCTAAATTCATCTCATGGTGGCAATGATGTCTAAGAAACCAATGGGCCAGCACCTGATCTTGAGCTTCCTGACTCCAAAACTGAGCAATTGGCGCTGTAGGAATAATTGCTTTAAGTCTATAGTATTTCATTATAGCAGTTTCTACTAACAATGAGAAATCCACAAAGAATGGCAGGTGGGGAAAACCTTGTGCCAATCTACAAGACAGAAGCAGAGGCGAAGAGAACACAGAGAGACTGGTCTGACACTGGCTCGTGATCCACTGTAGATGAAACAGCAACGCAGTGCTTGAGAGCCCCAAAAAGAGAATCTATGAAAGGGACCTTCTTAATTCAGTTCAGCGTCTACCTTACAACGACCCTGGTTAGGCACCATACAACTTACAAAGAAATATCATGGCAAACTTTTTGCCGAAGGAGCCCACTTAGCTTTAGTGAGAATCACGAACTTACTTTCAAGAGGCCTGAGACACATTTCTGAGAGGTATGACTAGAAATTTGTGTCTGTGACTGTCTATTTCTTGGGCTTCCTCTAACATTTTACAAGAACATTGCCCTTTCTGTTTTCTTCAAATTGATAATGAAATTGAACCAAGTTCTGAAGATATGATAAACATGTCAATTACTATAGCTATTCTTTATTTTCTTTCCTACTATTGCTGAAACTTAACATATTTTGACTTGTAACAGTCAATATATTTTGACTTATAGTAGGCAAAAATAATTGGAGAGTGCTTCTTTATGGAAATCTCCAATCACGAGTTAAAGTGAAGAGAAAATGACTTTTTATTGTCAGATATACAATATTTTCTTTTATGCTGATGATTTTCAGTAAGTACCTGCAGGCATAAAACTCCAGTCTTTCTTCAAAAGCCAATGAAAGGTGCTACTAATATTTAAGAAAAAAAAACTTTAAATATTTAAGGACTATTTTCGCAAACATTTAAGGAACATTCTAAAATACATGAATTTGTATGAAGAACCTAGAGGCCCAAAACATTTTCTTTTGGAAATCAGACATTAGAATGAAAGATAAAGATTTAGTTTACTATGTATACTTAAAATGTTGATGTGCACTTGTGCAATAAAGAATTGATCAACAATCATGATCAACAAAACATGATGGTGTTTTATTTCATCAGGAATTTGCATATTTGGCCACTAGTTATATAACTTCTTAGAAAATTTCTTTTTAAAGTTTGCGGTTCCTTATTGGAGAAAATCCAGATGCAACTAGACTCAGAGAAAATTGGCCACGGGTCTCTTTTTAAAAACATTTTAAGTTTCAATGCTCTTTAGTCCCATTTTTAACCAATGGTATACAGGGAACACACTTTGTTCTTTCCTCAGAAACTGATGTGGTTATTCTTTTGTGGACTCAAAGGGACTTTTCAAATTAACATCACTATTATGGCCCTCTTTTGCTGTCCCATGTGTGAATTTATTGGGGAAACTTAACCTTCCTTCCAAATCCTGGCAAGTACAGAAAACCATTGGCAACATCCTTCACCTGTGTTTCAGCACCTTGGTGAAACTTTAAAAAAATAAGTTAGTTTGGAATCCAGTTGATGAAGGAGGCCCTTGAACACAAACACACAAAATAATTCCTTGAAAATCGATAGGATTTTCTATAAAGCAGCGATGTCTGTAGTTCCTCTCCCTAGAACAAACGTGTTCCCTTTTGTAAGAGTTTTCTCTTTCGAGGCTCCATGGTATCAAGGCTTCATGTAGAACTCCAAGTAAAATGACTACCTTCTAGGTAATGACTCTAATTTATATAATGAATATTTAAGCAAAATGTCATGAGTTGGAATCGAAAGAAATCATCAGGGTCCAAAGAATGCCTACTGAGGGTAGCCCTAGTAAGATTAATTCTGGGAAGGGTAAATGAATTCCCTGGACTTACAAGGCAGTAAAAGGAAGGTTTTTCCTTGCTATAAATCTGGAAGGTTTAAGGTTTTTAAGGTTTAGTCTTGTTGAAACCCCAGGTCCACCTGAGCTGATTACATATATAGACATACACACATATATGTATATGTATGTGTGTGTGTGTGAGTGTGTTATACTTAAAAGGGACCAGCAAGCAAGCAAGGCAGAGACCGACCCTTTTATTTGGTTGTGTACTATATGAAATAAGTTCTATGTCTATAAGGTCTATGTCATTTACTTTGTGTGTGTATATTTGGGGGTAGGGGGAGGGTCCCAGTTTTCCTGATATTATTCCACTGCCTTCTTGAAGACCCAAGCTTCTTCTCCCAGGCCAGCAGACTCCAGAACAGGCAACAAGCTTTCTCTCACATTCCCACATTTCCTTTCTATTCTATCACCATTTTAAGTCACATTTTTCATCACATGGTAAGAAACCCTGTAAATAATTGAGGTGATCCATCAAGAGCCCCGTTCCTGATAATGAAAAATTGCATAACTCAGGAGAAGTCAATTAAAAACCACAAACTTCAGAAGCCTTTTTCGCTCAGTGAAGATTTATGGCTCTAGAAGGCAGAGAAGACCAAGGATCTCTCTGACCAGTCAAAATTTTGGAAAGTTCTAAGAATTCAGTTGAAGCTGGACACCACATGAGTGAGATTTTATACAGTATTGGGGTATCTACTTCTTTGAAAGAAAAGAGCTTTTTCCTCTTTCCTTGACTTGGTCTTGCTTGAGACAGTCAGTACTTAATAACCTCATTAAAAACAGCCTCTCTCTAGGCGATATTGTCTATTTCTTTTTTCCTATGAAGGTTTTAAATAATTCGGACTCCAATTGTGCCTATATAATGAAAAGTAGACAGACTACATGACAGCAGTCAGGATATTTCCCTCCTCTCGTCAACCAAATATCTGAGTAATTGAAACTACCTAGATAAATGACTCAAATGTTTTTGTCATCTGATTGCCTACTTAGGGCATAGCCAACATCTTAATAGAATATCTCCTACAAGTGCCTATGATTTTTTTTTTTAAGAGACATCAGTGAGTCTTCTTTAGAGGCATCAAACGCTGTGTGAATGACCAAGGAAAAATGCCAACTCTCTACAATGTATTATCTTGAAATTTTTTATTTCTTCCCAATACATAATTTATTAAACCCCGCCCCCATGCCCCAAATTTGATAAAAATCAACTAAGGGTCAACATCTACCTTCAAAAAGCAAAATCATTGATTCTATTTGGGGGGGGAGGGTGCAAAGTTTGTTATCTACCAGCTTAAATTTACTCTGTGCCTCAAGGCTTGGCCATGGAGCCTGTGAAAAGCCTGCCCAGGGGTTCCTGTGGGACTGGCTTCCCACTGAAATTGAACTGCCAAATAAAAAGCAGGAATTGTCCCCCTTTTAATCACAAAGAATATAATGGTTAGAATTCTTCCGATTGGAAATTCCAGCAGTGTTCTTGTGTTTTCCTCCTGAAGTGTGACAAGAATGAATAATCTCAAAAATAGAAATAAACCTCATCTACAAACAAGCAGTCCTTTGACTTTATAAGGTTCAACACCAAATACGCGGCATTCTAAAAATACTTAAGATCAGTAAAATGTCAGAGCTGAGGGTAATATGCTGGAAAGAGCACTGATTTTTAAGCTTCCAATTCATTGGAGCCTACTAATCTTAACTTTGCTTCTATTGAGACATTGTCACTTCAACTACTAGGGACCATCACATTTCATATTCATATAAATATTTGACTTTGACCTTATAAAAAGTCCCCGGAGTCTATACTTTTATTCTTGTATGATCTGAAACAAATCCTTTCCTTTTAAAAATCAAACAGACCAGGTTACACACACAGTTGACTAACTATTTACAAAGCACCCAATTAAATCCTACTTAATTCTCACTCTAAAAATTCCATCTAACTCGTGTGGGGAGACCCAATGACATTAAATGCGTGTTTGCAAGCCTCGCGTTTTTCCTAGCTAACCTAGAAAATGTTAGCCTTCTTAAAGAGAAAAGAGTCTTGAAAAAATAAGTACAAGGTTTTGAAAGAAATGAGACCAGAAATCACAGTACAAGACAGATAAATCTACTTTAATATTCACATGTAAAAGGTACACATCACAAGAGATTGGACAGTAGTTTAGCGGTAACTAGCATAGCTATAGTGAAAATCATTTTTATAAAAAAATAATCTAGATGCGGTCATCAGAATTTTTGGTCTACTTAAGTTTTCGGTTTGAAGATCAACTTTTATGCCTGCTTCAAAGATTCGTCACTATGCCGTCTTATTTTTCTTTCCCACTGTTGCCTGTTACTATTCTTTGGAGGAAGGAAAGCAAAAAAGTGTTCATTTCCAAGAGTTTGTCCTTTGGTAGCAAGCAGAGAACATTTTTTTTTTCATTTCTATGATTTAAAGAATCTATACAGACAGGAAACTTACTGACACTAAGCTTTTGTGTAAAATGAAGAATGAGAACTATCTTTTTCACTTTGATTAAACATTTCATAAACTCCTTAAAGATCCAAGCATTTCCCCGTCCCATAGGCAAAATCACTCAGAATCCATCATGATCTCAATTAGAAAATGAAAAACACGCTTTATAGATTACACTGTCAAACCCTGTACTTAAAATCAGATTAAGTATATTTCCAATATGTATGCTCCAAATACAGAGATTTCCATCTAGTTTTTTTTAAAAAAAAAACACATTTGAATGGACTCAGAACAAGTTTATTTTGTGATTAAGCGTCTCATGCAGGCATGCAGGATCACTAGCTAACACTGTCACTACACAGACAGTGAGCAAAACAAAAACAAATTAAAAGCCAAGGCAAACAGAAAAGACATTCCAGGTACCAAGAGCTCTGCAATTGAGCTGAAAAATAATTTTTCAACAGAAATATTCCCATAGATTAAAAAAACACACACATAATATTTACAAAAAATATTTAATTCAAAATATCTTATAATTACAGTAGTCTATTAAAGCATATACTTTCTCACACTTATAGAACATCTCTCTCTATATATACATGGTATGAAATGTCACTCAGTTATCTATACAATATGTAACATTCTTGCAAGGAGAAGAAAGTTCCCTGCTCCGTTATAATCATCTATTTTAAACAATAGATGTGAGGAGAAAAAAAAATATCTACATTGCTCTGGTATATTAGTAAAGCTTCCAAACAAAAACTGAGCTCCTTGGTCACTGAGTAGAGGCTTCTAAAGTCGGAATTTACTCTTGATCGTCTATATATCACCAGTCCTGTCTCACTTAAGCTTAAAAGTTTAACTGCACCTCCCAAGAACACAGAAATGTACAATTCACAACGGTTATAAAATGAAGAGACAAAGAATTATGTAGAAGGTGGATGAAACGTGCAAAGGAAAAAGAAAATTAAAAAAAAAAGGATGAGCGTTTTTAAATGTTTCTTTCCCTCTCTCTTGGAATGAGCGCAACGTGTCTAGGCTCTGAAGGTGTGTGGGTTTTTTTGTTTTGTTCTGTTTTTTTTTTTTCCTTCCCTCCGGTGGCTTTTCTCTAACTTCTGCTCTTCCCCCTCCCTCTCTAGTGCTCCTGGCTCGGGCTCAGGCGGCCGCACACCTGTGGAAGAGGAATGAATAGAGGGGGTGTGTGAACCTTCCCGCTGCAGACCGACTGGCGCCACCAACCAAACTCAAGACATGCTTGATCAACAACCCAAAACAAACCACCAGGTCAGACAACACCCGCAGCCCGGGGCCGCCGGGCGCCGGGGAGGCAGCTGCGGGTCCCCTGGAATCCGGGAGAGGGGGACCCTCTTCCCGGGTCCTGTCTCCCCCCCATCCCTTGGCCACCCCACCTCCCCGCCCTTGCATCCCAAGCGGGTGTCAGATTGCTCAGGGCCATCGCGCACTTTCCACGTCCACGGTGGTGGTGGGGTGGTGCCCGCTGGTCACTAGGGGAGCCGCCACCGGGGCTGCGAGGACAAGGAGGCGATCGTTGTCCTCCGGAGTGGGGGAGCGCGCCCCGAATTAAGAGAGCGAAGTCCGGGTTCGCTGGCTCGCTGGGTGGCAGGAAAGGAGCGGGAGGTGGGGGGGTGGGTGACCTCCTTTCTGGCCAGTCTGCTGGGGGGGGGGGCTAAGACCCCCGGCGGGGCCTGGCACCGGAAGCCCCCCATCCCTCCCACCCCATCCCCCGGGGCCGGTTGTCTCCGCTGATCGGAGCCCCCCCTCTCCACGCCCCCAGTCGTCGGCCTGGGCAGGGTGCGCTCACCTGGACAGCGCAGCCCGGCTCAGCGGCACAGAATGCTGTCGCCCTGCTTGTTCACCGCGCCGGCCTGGAACAGCAACGGAACCGCGAGCGCAAGGTTAGCCGGCGCCCACGACGCGCTCCCCCTCGCGCGCGCCCGGGTCCCCCCGCGCCGACGCCCCCGTTCCCGCCGGCCGGGGCACTTGACAGCGCCAGGAGGCGCGCCCCAGCCGGGGTGCAGCCCGGGGTGTCTGTCCACCTCCCAACGCCCCCCTCCCCGGAGATCCGCGCGGAGCCTCCCCCCCACCGGCCCCCAACGCGCCCACCCCGGGAGAAGGAAAGGGGGTGCGGCTGTCATCCTCCTCGGCGGCGCCCCCCGGGCTCCCCGAGGAGGACCAGATGCCCGCACGCCGCCGCCACTGCCACTGCCGCCGCCGCCGCCGCCGTCTCACCGGGTCGGTGTTGAGCGCCGTGAGCGGGGTCCGCGGCGGCGCGGCCGGACAGGTCCCGGCTGGGTGGTGCGGTGGCGCGGGCGGCGGCGGCTGCCTCAGCAGAGCCGGGTGCGTCTCCAGCGCCAGCTGCAGGTCCAGGATGTAGTCGATAACGTGCTGCAGGATCTCCACTTTGCTGACTTTCTTGTTGGGCGGGATGGTGGGCACGAGCCTCCGCAGGCGGCTGTAGCAGTCGTTCATATCGCACTGCAGGCACAGCGCCGGCTCGTCGGCCGCCGCCTCGGCCGCCTTGCAGCGCGCCGCCGCCGCCGCGGCCGCCGCGGCCGCCGAGCCGCCCAGGCTGTGGCCGTGCTCGGCCAGGCAGCGCAGCGCCAGCTCCCCGCCGCCGCACCCCGACGGCGCCTTGCGGCCCGAGGGGCGCACCGGGCTCACCGCCTTCATCGCGCGCGCGCCCTGGCACCCGGTGCCCGCCGCGCCGCCCGGGCGAGCGAGCGAGCGAGCGAGCGAGCGAGCGAGCGAGGGAGGCAGGCACGCTCCGAGCCCGCGCCCGCCGCCGGCTCCGCGCCCCTTGTGCCTGCGGCTCGGGCGCGCTTGGGGCGGGCACCGCGATCCCGCTCGCAACAATTGACGACCGGAGGCGGCGGGGCTCCGGGGTTGGGCAACGGGATGGGGAGGAGGCGATCGCTGCTGGGCGGCGGGGTGACCACCCGGTCGGGACCGAAAAGGCCAAGAAGGGGGGAGCGGATGGGGAAGAAGAGGAAAAAGAAAATAAAAATAATCAAAAAGCTCCAGAAGGAAGAGAAAAGAAAAAAAAAAAAAAAGCAAACCCGGCGGGTTCTCCAGGCGCTCCCTTCGGAGCTCGGACTCGACAACCCCGCCGCCGCGCGCCCCCTAGCCCCGCGGCTTCCCCGACTCCCGGCCCCGACTCGCAGCCGCGCCTCCTCGCCGCTCGCGCCCGGCCAGCAGCGCAGCTCTATTTATGCAGCCGCGCGTCCCTGGGGCGGAGCCAGCGCGCCGGCCGGGTCGCCGCGCGGAGCCGAGCGCAGCCCGGCCGGGCGCGCGGGCGGGGGCTCCGGGCGGGGCCGGCGGGGGCGGGGAGCCGGGCCACGGAGGGGCGGGGGGGGCGGGGAGCGCCGGGGCCGGCAGCCAATCAGGAGGACGCTGCCACCTCAGGGATTGCCGCTCGGGCCAATGGGCAGCGCGCTCCATGCCGTCAACGCTGTGGGTCGGGGCGCTGAGAAAAAGAGAGCCGGGTGGGAGTCAGGCCGGGCTCGGGGGGTGCGCCCTAGGGAGGGGGAGAAGAGAGGGAGAAGTTCCTGCGAAGAACTGCGGGAATGCGCGGCTGGAATTCACTCCCGGCGGCGTTGGCTGCCGGCAGGGCGCGGGGGTCCAGCTTGGAGGATGCTCCGCTACTGCTGAGAGCGCGGCGCTCGCCCATCACTCCGCCCCTGGGATTCCAGTGCCCAAGAGGGACGCAGTTCTGGAAGGCACATTCGTTCTGGTCTGCATTTCCCCGCGTCTGTTTCTTTTATTCGCCTGGTCACAATTGCCGAAACCATCACGATGGGATGGAATGTGTAGGGTAGCCTTTCCGTTTTCTTTCCTTTTCTTTATAAAAGAAAAAGAAAACACCACAGCTTAGCCAAAGAGAGACGAATTGCCGATATTTGGGGTGAAGGGCCACCTCAATAAAATAAAAATGTAGTGGGGCTTTTCTTTGACCCATCCGGGTGCAAGAGTGGGCTCAAGAAAAAAAATGCAATCGCCTCGAGCATTAAATTAGAGCGCGCAAATATTAAAAATGCATGGGCACGGAGTATTTAAAATTCCATCCTGACATATAATATTCATCCGTTTTATGTAACATTCATACCTGTAATTTAATGTAGGGCATTAATGCACCGCTTCACGTATTAGTCTTCATACCCCGCTTCCAATAAAACGCTGAGAATGTCCAGAATCGCCTTCTTTTGCAACAAAGCATTAAAATTCACACTTCGTGTCCCTCGAGTCTTGCGTGAGTCTCACACTGCAGAAAAGTCTGTTAATTAAGGACGGGTTGTGTGTGTGTGTGTGTGTGTGTGTGTGTGTGTGATAGGATTTTTCCCCCCCTCTCTTTTTAATAGAAAGGCTGTCTTTCAAGGGTTCCAACGGAATTGCACAGAGAACTTAGGGCCTTGCATGTCCTCTTTAAGAAAAAAATAAAACAAAACAAAAACCCTCCAGATGAGAAATGAAAAACTCTCAGGTTATGGGGATGTGGAATGGGAGTGGTTCTAACCCACAAACCTCCCATCTTTGACAAGTGAGGAGGAGGAGAATGAACTTAAGAATTTTCTTCATTTGTATGCATGTCTTCATTTTTATAAATAATTGAGAAAGAAAAGCGATCCGGACCTTGTTCTATCTTCACTGTATACAGAAATCCTGCCTTCCCAGAACTAAAATACCTGCATCGGACCAGGAGATTTGCTAAGTCCTGGGGGAGCTTTATGATACACAACACTCATTTCCCCAGAGCACATTCTTTTTCGAGGTGAAGTGTTGGTGTCGAAGGCTGTTGCAAAAATTCTCTTCTCTTTCTTATCATTACAACTTACACCCATCACTGCTGTAAAAACTGTTTGAAAGCAAGAAACATTCTCATGTACCCATATGCATCTATGCTAGATTTTTAAATTTTGCATCAAGCAAAGCAGAACTTTAAGATTCGGAAGTAGATTTTCCTTCGGCAGGCATGGTTTTCTAATTCTGAGTTAATATAAATACAGATAATGCTTTCACTTTGCATAGACACTTGAGTAAGGGAGCACCACTGGGCGTAAGCTATTATCTTGAAGCCAGCTATATCAGCTCAGATGATAACCACTAATGGATATAGGCACAGACATTTTGTTCCTTTGCTTTTTCCCTTTTCTTGCATCAAAAAGCTGCTCCAATATTTCAAACCCAAAATTTTTCTGTTTGGCAAAATTTAACTAAATTGCCTTAGAGCACTCTCCCATTCCAAAACTTTAATGCAGGTTATCTAAGTCCATTAAAATGAACATTTGCGTTTAAAATAGGTGCCACAAAGAAACAGTCCTACCCATCATTTTTGGACTCTGCTAAATCTCAGAGAACATGACCTGGGAGTGGCATGTGAAATGTCAAAGCGTCAGGTTTTGTTGGTGTTGCTCTGTGAGGCCAGCTTAAAGCCCTCAGGCTGGGTTTCTGTGGGGGCTAAGTGCAAAGGAATGTTTCTTGGTCATGTGATCAAGAACACCCAGCAAAGAAATGTGATGCCCAAATCCTGCCAGAAGGCAGGGGCAATGATCCTAGTCCTCCTTTTTGAAAGGTAGCACAACCTGAAGATTTTTTTTTTTAAATTGAGTGCTATGTAAAACATTGTGCAGTGAAACTCGGAAATATGAGCCAGTGCTTTTTGACCCCATGAAACCAGAGTAAAAGAGCCTGCACAGTATATGTTTCTGTCCTTAGCCTCAGTCGCTTATCCGCTGCCAGAGCTGCATTCGGAGCTTGCCGGCACCCAGAGTTTCCAACAGAGTGTGCTCAGCAATTAGCAGCTTCAGGAAAAATCTTACAAATGACATTATTTCTACCCTGCAGAGAAGGAAATTTCATTTTCCAAGACTCTTCTCTTTACAGAAGAATATTTCCCTTGCACGCATAAAAATAAGGTTGGCTTGCCAAAAACTTTGTACCTGGAAAGTGCTGGAGACTTCCAGAATGTACCTCCAGGGGATGCACTCTCTGAAGGTGGACTTGCTCAGTTCCTAGGGTGCCCCCGAATCTTGTACACACCCTCTTCCAGACAAACTGTTCTGGTGCCCTTTCTTGGATGCTTCCTAGATGCCAATCAGACCCTTGCTGAACTGCAACACCCCAGCTCTTAGAATTCACAATCACCCAGTGTTTCCATGAAGCAAAGGGTATCCAAGCATATTATGCTATTCAGACCAAATGCCTTTTTAGGAATTGGTAACTGCTTTCTCCAGAACCAGCAGTGAAACAGTGGGTGGGCTCAGGCACAGATAAACATTTGCATTCCCATGCTCCGTCCCTTTCTACAAGTTAGTGGTCCCTGAAGGAGTAACATGCCTTCTCCCGGGGCAGAAGGAACCTTATGTTCTCTGTGGCAGGAATGTCCCTCGCTCCGAAAGAGTACATTGAGTGATGTGGCAGTTCCAGCTCAAGGCTGCTTTATCTGGCACTGAGCGTTACAAACTTACTGGAGCTACCCAAGGATTGCAGATAGTCATCCCGGAAACACCGATAACCCCTTGGTTTTGCCTCGTCCTGGGAAAGGCATAGAGGGTAGGGATATTATCTAGGGAACAGAGCTGGTCAGTGGTGGCCATCAAACAGGCAGAGTGCAGAAGTTACAAATGAGTCAGTGACTTTTCGAAGTTGTTCTCAGAGGTCAAGAGAGACAGCTGGGAGAGCTAGATTGCATGCTTTGCATGTGGGAGGTCCAGGTTTAACCCTCCTGGCCCTGAGCCAGGAGCAAGCAGGCCCTGAGCACCACTGAGTGTGGCCCCAAGACAAAACAAACAACAGCAACAACAGAAAGACTTCACAGCTAATAGCAAGTGAAAAGAAAAAGGGGTCATTACTTTTGATTTTAAGAGACACGAAGACAGCGGACTTGAAATTTGGCTTCATTCAATTTTGGCTCCTGGTTCAGTTATGTGGGAGCCCTACATTCCTGTGCCTTTTATAACTAAACTGAGGGCAACTGTTGCATCTACTTTGTAGGGCCTTTATATTATACCTATGATCTGTGTAAGAAGCTTTATGAAGCTTTTTTGTGTGTATGTTGCAGGTGGGGGGCACATCTGGACGTGCTCAGGGCTTACTTCTGGTTTGATGCTTTGGGATCACTCCTCGTGGACTCTGACGATCACATGGGGCACTGAGGATCAAACCTGGGTGGGCTGCTTACAAGGCAAACACCCTCCCCACTGTACTATCACTCCAGGCCCCATTATGAAGTTCTTAGAACAGTGTCTAGCACAAAATAAGTCTGTCAAGAATGCTAAAATTTATTATTGTTTGGGGGAAGTACCTCTGTTTGTAGCTTCCACGTACGTGTCTTGCTTTTTCATTTATTTAGCTGCTAAATAAATGAACTGTCTCCTAAAGCAGCCTTTAGCTTTGGTGATCACAGTATGAATTTGTTATGTGGAGTCAACTCTTGGTATTGTCACATAGAAATATTCACATAATGGAAGATTTCAAAGCCTTTTTTCTATTCTTTCTCCAGAAACTTCATAGTTTTAGGCAGGATTAATTTTATGGGTGTGCAACTGACAGTTATAAAATTAGAAATGGTCGTTTAATGCTTTGCCACCTTGGAATTCTTTGTAATTTTTTTAACCTGGAACTAGCACTTTTTATTTGGCATTAGAGTTGGCATATTAAAAGACTGATGCCAGTTGTGGGTTTAGGGGAATGATAGGGCATCTGGGTCACATCTGGTGCTAGGTACTAGGGGTGACTCAGTTCTGTGATTGGGGGTTGCTTTCATGGTGCTCGAAGGAA